CCCCCACCCCTTAGGCTGATCCTCCCTTCATCCCCCAGTGCTTTTTCTGGGAGCGCTCACACCAGCCCCCTTTCTTTAGGTCCCACCCACCCCCTGCTGGCCCATGAGGCCAGGGTTGGCTTTGCAGGGAAAACATTTATTCAGCAGCCACCGTGTTCAGCAGCAGCCCACAGGCCCACAATGGCCCCTTTGACTGGGCTGCCGAGGTGGGGGGCTAGGCCTCAGCGTAGCCGTTCCAGTAATGAGACCCAGGCCCACAGGAAATCCACCTGGGCTGCCGCTGCTGGCTCAAGAAGATGGGGCCCCACCCAGGCCCGCTGCCACCATCCTCTGCCCCCGCGACCCATTGCTCACCTCCTTCCTTCTCATGCCAGAACCCTCAGCAGCCGCTAATTGAATCCAGAGCCTCGCGTGGCCAGGCCTAACTCAGCACTGACATCAACGCCCCAAGCCGCAGGGCCTATTCCCCAGGCTTGACTGAGCTTCCTCCTTTTTGCCAGGGTGAGGCTAGGAGCCAGGGGCTGTGACCCACAGAGGGGCACAGGCATAGGGCTTTGGGGAGCCTATTCCAGCATCTGCAGGACCTCTCTGTGGCCCCAGGGACCACCATCTGAAGTTACTAGGAAAAGGTGCTCTATATCCATCACTGTCCCCAAGCTCCCAGCTCCCATCATCCCTGGTCCTGCCCCTGCCTATGTCTTCCTGGAAAACACTCCCACTTCCGGGGTTTTGGAAAGCCAGGCACATTCCAACCGCAGAGAGTAAAGGGACATTGAAGGGCCACCAGGTCTCCACAGGCCAAGGATCCTGATCCTTGGCCACCAGCTCCTAATAGTCTCTGGCAGCCTCCTCACCCACCAGAGGGCTCCTGCCATTCAGGATCTGTGCTGCCCTTGACTAAGGCTCCTTCTCTGCAGCTGGAGCAAGAGCCCATACAGAGGGGCAACAGGACTGTAGGGAGGGTGAGCTGTGTGTGCCACCTGCACCATCCATGAGGGCCTGGCAGGACATAGTTCAAGGCATCCCCTCCACAGAGGAAGGCAGGCATGGACTAGCTGTCCAATCCGTCCCTGAGAAAGGGCCCTTGGAGATCCTCTTGGCATGTATCTGCCATGAGCCTCTTACAGGAGCACTGCAGCTGGGTAGGTTAAGGCTGCCCTGTTATTCTTCACCGAGGTTGGAAACTGCCCAGCTTCTGTTGCCCCACTGGGAGGTTGGACTGGGTACCTCAGTGGAAACTGGGTGGACACAGCCCAGGATAGGACTTGTGGGAATGCCACCCTACCCACCATGGCCCTCGCAAGCCCAAGGAATGCTGGCCAGGGCCTGGTGTCTATTGGGGAGAGGGGTCCTGGCCCCCAGTTCCCCAGAGGGCTGTCCCTTTACACCTACCCTGCACCCCTACCCTCCCTCCACGCAGTCCAGGAGCCTGGGGTCATGCCAGAAAAACACTCATTTTATTTTATTTTTTATTTTTCTTATAAAAGGCCTTCATATCATCGTTTGTCTTACAAAAACCAAAGTCCTTGTCTCTGAGTTTGAAAACTATTTTCCCAGAATAAATGGGAAAGGATCTCTTATAAATATATTTTTAAAAAACAAAAGCAAAACTTGTTCCTAAAGCGTCTTTCTTTCCAGTTTCATTTGTTACTTCACTCCCTGGGGCCAAGGCTGGGCTACATACCCATCCTTACCCCCACTCTCCCTTTTCTCTCTTTCTGGGGGCTTCCTTCACTGGCCCCCAGAGTCTCCTTGGGTTGAGGGCCTGGCAGCCCTAGGCCTGTGTTACCAGCACACAGCAGAACCTGCCTGCCCTGCTCCACCCCAGAGGTTGCACATGGCAGAGGACAGGGCAGACGCCATCCTCAGAGGCACTTGGGCTCTGGGGGGGTCCTTAGAGGTCTTCACCTGGGTCCTAGCATCTTAGATGAGGAGACCAAGGTCCAGAGAGGGGCAGGGACTTGCTGTAATCACCACAGCCCCTGCCCTGATATGACCTCATCTTATGGATCTGAGAACTTCTTGATCTTATAGCAGGAGGGCGCTATTCAGTCCCAGCAGGGCTGAGAGCCCAGCCCAATAGTCCATCACTCCCAGCTTAGATGTAGGGCTTAGTGGGAAGGGGCCCTTGGAGCCCAGGCCCTGGGTAGCCCATGAGTGGCACCTCACACTCAGGCCCACCAGGTGGGGCCTCCCCACCGCCCTCACTTGCCATGGGGCCTGGTTCTAAGGGGGCCTTCACCCCCTCCAGCTCTAGGGGCCCAGGCCCCACCTGCCCTTTGCCTTGAGCTGCAGCTGCCGCGGCCCGCCCCCGCCGCACAAAGTAGGCTGCCCCTACAGCAGCTAGGGCAGCCAGGAGTATGGCAGCCAGGGCAGGCGCAATAAGAAGCGGCAGGTTGCCCTCTCGGGCCTGTGTGACCGGGGCATGGTTGGAGCGGACAGCTGCGGGGGTGTGGGCCTCTCCACAGGCCTCCTCGCCCTCAGGCATCCGCCCAGCCCCCAGGGGCCTGACACAGATGGAGTAGGTGGCATTGGGCCGAAGTTGTGTGACCGTGTACTCAGCAAGTGAGGCGGGCAGCCTCAGTGTCACCGGCCGCTTGTCAGGGCCTGACAGGTTTCGGTAGGTGAGGCGGAGGCCCCTGAGCTGCACAGTACTGCCCTGCAGGTAGCGCTGCAGCCCTATCCTCAGGGAGGTGGGGCTTATTGGCTCGATCCCGAGGGGCAGAGGCCCTGGAGGCCTCAGTGTGGCTGGGGTGGGGGAAGGCCATAGTCCCTGCCTCATCAGGCTCTCACAGTACAGACCAGTGAAGCCTTCAGGGCACTGGCAGGCTAGGTGGCCCCTAGCCCCCCGGTGGCAAGTACCCCCATTGAGGCAGATAGATGCTGGGCAGTCCTGGGGCTGAGGGTCAGCTCCCACAGTGGGTGGGGTGGCAGGTGGCAGGCTCGGGGCTTTGGCAACAGGCTCCGTGGGGTTTTGCCAGGTAGGGGCTGGGCTGGAAGACGAGGGTGTGGGTTCCCATGCCAAGGACCTTGTGGTGGGCACTGTGGCTGTGGTGGTGGTGGCTGGGCAACCAAAGTCAGCATAGTCGAGGTCCAGGAGCATCTGGCCAGCGTTCTTGGGTGGGAAGTGGCAGCGTGTCTCCTCCGGGCTGGCCAGTGCCACTCGGTTCTCCCGCACCCAAGGGCTGAACCAGCTCAGGGGGCACACACAATTGAAAGGGTTTCGGGCAGCTGCCAGGAGCCGCAGGCGGGGGAAGAGGCCCGAAAGCTCATGTGGTAAGGCCTGCAGGCTCAGGTTGCTCAGATCCAGCTCCTGCAGGGCTGCCAGGCCAGCCAGGTCCTCAGGCCGCAGCTGGGCAATGCGGGTGTTGCCAGCCAACCGCAGGCGTGTCAGTCCCTGTAGACCCCGGATGGCAGGTGGAACACACTCCAGCTGGTTGTCTGACACATCCAGGTCGTGTAGATTGCGCAGGCGGCCAAAGAGCCCCTCATCCAGTTGCCGTAGCCCCAGGCCAGCCAGCCGCAGCGCCTCTACATTGGCAGTGTCCAGGGCACCCGGCTCAAGGGCCAGGAGGCTGTTGTGACTGAGGTCCAGCAGCAGCAGGCTTGGCAGGCGCAGCGGGGGCAGTGCCCGAAGCTCGTTGTCTTGCAGCTTGAGCTCCAGGAGGCGGTCAAGTGCATCAAAGGCACCAGGCTGGATGTGGTGGATTCGGTTCTTGCCCAGGTAGAGGCGCTCCAGGCACCGCAGGCCGCGGAAGGTCTCATTGGTGATCTCACGCAGCCTGTTGGCAGTGAGGTCCAGGTTGCTAAGGTTGGCAAGTGGCCGGAAGACCCCACTGGGCAGGCTGGTGATCTGATTCTGTGATAGGTCCAGGAGCTGCAAGCCTGGTAGGCTGGCAAAGGTACCTGGTTCGAGTGTAGTAATGCCGTTGTCAAAGACATACAGGCCTGCTGTGTTGGACGGCACATCTCGGGGCACCGTGGTCCCCTGGCGGGCAGTGCAGAAGACTGTCTGTGGCTGGTTGCACTGGCAGCCAGACGGGCAGCTCTGCACCCCAGGCCCTAGGGCTAGCAGCAGAAGCAGCAGCAGGGGCAGGGGCAGGGGCACACTGGAGCGCATCTTTTGGTCCCTGGGAGCAGAGAGGAAAGACAGGAGACCATGAGTCAGTGGCCCAGGAGACAGCCATGGCAAGAAGTACTGAGAAGGGAATTCCAAGCCCCCTTCACTCCCTTCCCCCAAATTCTACAGCACACTGTAGTTATGAGTCAGGTCTCCAATGCCTGGGCCCAGTTCCTGTCCCAGTCGCATCACTCTCTTGCTATGTGGCTTTGAACAGTCACATGACCTCACTATGCTATCAGTTGGTACTTCCTGCACTGTCACCATGGTTCAGTGGGTTGATGCATGCAGAACAGGGCCCAGCCCCCAAACACTCAGTGACCACAAAGGACCTCTATACCTTAACCCAGTTCTCCCACCTCTGCAGCTTAGAGAGAACATGATCAAAAAGCATCAGGCTGTGGCCCTTCCCCCATGCTCCCACCCCAAAATCTCTGCTGAGGTGGACAGGGAAGCAAGGGGAATGGCGGCTCCCTCCCCGACGCTTCTTCGAGATTGGTGGGCAGTCAGCCCAGTGCGTAAGTAGAGAAGCTGGCTGCCCCAGGCCACCGGCCCCTGCCGCCACGCTCTACATCCTCCAAGTGAGGAGAGACCGCAGTGGGAAGACTTCACATGGAAACTATGGGATTGGTGTTTTTCCACTTGTGAAGTCAGACCTGCCCAGGACGGGAGCTGTGGGATGGCCAGGATGTGGCCAGTAGGAAAGTTCCTAGGGAAGGGAGTAGAGGTGCTGAGCAATTGGCAGGGGGAGGGTATAAGGAGGGAACCCTGTGTTCATATCCCCTTACGGGCACAATGATAGAAGTAGAGGTGAGGGGATCCAAGCCTCCCTGGGCTGACCCAGGGCTCAAGTTGGGGGGACATTGGTTGCATGGTGGCCCCAGAAGCAGTGCCAGACCTGGAAATACTCCCCAGATTCCTTCATCTACCATTTCTTGGGTTCCACTGTGGGCTGGGCACTGAAGCAGAGCCGCAGCCCTTCCCATGTGCCAGTGTCACTGAGCATTTAGCCACCTCTTGTAGTTTCTCCAGCAGCCATTCCAGGTGGAAACTATTTTCATCACTCCCAGATGACAGAAAAGGGGGGCTCCTAGAGGTGCAGTGACTTGCTGCCGTTGCACTACCGAGAAATCTGAGCCAGAGCCCTGGTCCTTAAGCAGGTCCAGGTGTGGCTGTGCCTGCTGCCTGATGCGGGGCCCAGTCCTGCCGGGGTAAGTGGGGGTGGCTCCCCCAGTCATTCCAGGCTCCAGCTTGTAGCTTGACCTGCCCAAGAAAGGATGGGGCCACAGCTGGGGCCCACCTTCATTCAGGCTCCTGGGGAAAATCTAGGTGCCACCCCCAGCAGCAGTCCCCACGATCTGAGCCTGTATAGCCCCAGAGAGGCCAGCACCCCTCCCTTCCAGGCACCTCTGCTTACACAAGGGCCTTTTGTGCTGGGGCGCAGCCTCCCCTTCCCCCATACTGGCCAGCTGTCAGGCAAAGGCAGGTAATATGGCCCCCCCACCCAGGGTGCCTTCTGCCCCACTGCCATCTATTTGGGTTGTCCCTCCCCCAAATAGGGAAGTGTGCTGGAATATGAGGTGGAAGATGGGCAGGTGGTCCCAGGATGGATTCAACAAGTCACTGGGGAGGCTACTGTGGTCTTAGGCCAGTTCTAGGTAAAGGCCTGCCACCCAGTTTGGGTACCCTGCCCACCTGCAGGGTCATCCTTGCCTGGGAAGTGGGGCCATTGGCCTTGCCCTTCACTAGTTAACACTGATGACTGCCCTTCAGAAGCTAGCCAGGGAGGCCTTACCTGACCCCTAGCCAGTGCCCCTTCCCCTGCTCTCTAGATTCCTGGCTGTCACATGCATCCCTAGCCCTGCCAGTGCCATCTCAAGGGGGTTCTGTGCACCCCACCCAGCCTACTCCCCTGTGAGGACCTGCTCCACCCTCACTGACTCAGAGTTCAGCCTGGCCTCCAGATGTGGGCTATGAGCGTCCCCCACCCCCACGTGGACGTGGGGGGTGAGCCACCTCCCCCTGAATCAGCTCTCCTGGAGGAACAGGCCGGGGTCAGGAAGGGAGCAGCCAGACTCAGGGTGGGAGGGGACCCCTCCATGTGGCCAGCTTGGTCACCCGTGACTTTGGCTTCCCATAGGACTTGTATAAGGTCATGGTTAAGAACTCATGCTCTAATCAGGCAACCCTGGGCCATGGGTGTCAGAGCTGTAAGGTGTAGACAGTGGTTTCTCTCAGCGCCTAGGCTTCTTCATCTGTCCCCCAGACGTTTCAGAGACACCTCCCAAGACTGGGGCACTGCTGGGGGCACTCCCCACTCTGCATTAAGGAGGGGGCCAGTGTGGGCTCTAGGCTTCGCTCCCTTGAATCAGCAAAGTCCTCATGGGGGAGGGAGGCAGTGACTGCTATGGCTCTGTCTGGACCTGAGTGGCAATCTGGCTGAGTAGCTGGGAGCAAAGGCTGCATGAGGAAGAGCGACTGGCATCCCGGGCTGGGGAGCCTTCAACAGGCAGCAGCTAACCTGCTTCCCACTCCCTAGGAGGCAGGAGTGAGCGCCTTGGCCTGAGCCCAGATCCATCACTCAGCAAGGACTGGCACAGGGGCTTTGGAAAACAGCAAATGAGGGCTGGTAGCTCCACGGGCTCTCCCACAAGGGCCTGGCACCAAGAGCAGAGCAGACATCAGACAACCCCCCTCCCAAAAGAAGGGGCACAGAGGGCCAAGACTGACCGCGGAGGAGCAAGCATCAGGTAGTAGGATAGTAGGAGACAGAGGCTTGAATTTGGGCCCAAGTTCTGCCCCTAAATTGTTTCCTGGGTTTCTCAGCTGCCTTGCTTCACCCTTCAGAGTTGTTCTGAGCACCCAGTATTCTGTTTGTTTTCAAATGCGCAAGTTCTTCTAACAAGTTCTGGAAGCGATTCTGCTTGTCTGGGCCCATGCTGGTGTGTGAGTGCATTGGGGGTGGGGGTGCCTCATGAGGGGGGTTGGGTCATGGCTGCCCTTGTCCAGCCAGTTACAATTTCAGCAGCTCTGAAGGACCGGGGGCCTGGGCTTTGATATCTGATCCACTGACCTGAGGCAGGGAGGTGGGACCTTTCTCTCTGAAAAGGGTGTGGGGAGAGTTCTGGAGGCAACCCTGGCATTTGGAGGGGGTGGGGGGTGGGGACTAGAGGGAGAGGGCAACAGGGTCCAGGGCTTCGGTCCTCCATCTAGATTCAACAAAGCCCCACCGTGGTCTGGCCCTGCCATGGTTTGGTGGAAAGAGGCAGCAGGCAGAGGCCTGGGCTCTGCTGCTGCTGGCCTTGCCACCCCCCAAGGAACAGTTTTGGGGATGGTACTTTAGGGTCCGACTACCTGTGTTTGCAACCTGGCCATGGGCCTTCACCTCAGTTCCCATCTGTTAAGTTGGGGGGCTGGTAATAGCACCTGGTTTTCAGGGTTGTTTAGTTTGTACTTGGAGTACATTCTGAGTGGTCAGTCAACATTTGCTACTGAGGGTGTTACCCATAATACCTGAGTCCGCTCTGGGAAGGATGCCATAGTGTGAGAGGCTTCATGCTACTTTCAGCACAGACAGGAAGCCTCCTGGGCTGAGGGTAAAGCCTCCATGTACATGTAGAGGCTGCCCCCCCCCCCCTCCACCCTTGGGTATGGGCGTAGGAGAGCAGCCTGATGGAGAGGAACCTTTAATTTTGGAGGGGGTAAGGGGTGAGCTGTCTTCTGGCCAGTCCCCTTCAGCATATGACTTCAGGGTGAGGGGAGAGCAGAGTGAGGGCTCTATGAGTAAGGACATCCATCATCGCAGCTCTCAGGGGACCCAGAGTGCCCCCACCCACTCCCAAGTATGGGACACACAGAAGTATCTGCCTTGGGTCAGGAAGGGACTGGAAAATGGGTGGAACCTGGGCATTTGTGTGACTGCATCAGATCTAAGGCTGAAGCATCTCACTGCTCCTGGGGAAGGACAGGCCAGCATACCCCCTTCCTGTGCCCAATGCTACAGAGTAAGTGCAGGGGTCGGGTACTATAGGCCTGACCCTGGGGCCCTGGGCCTCTGGCTCCCAGTGTTGGCCCGCCCGGGCTAAGCACTGCCGGCCAGACCTGGCAGCAGCCCAGCCCAGGAGTCTGCCAACCCTCCAGGCAGGCGGGACTGTGCCGGCGGCCAGGACAGCTGGCTCCAGTTTCGCTGACGTGTCTGAGGAGGTTCAGGGCCCAGGTCGGGCCCACCCGTCTCCCCATCCCCGGGACAAAGCGGCCCCTGGCCCAGCAGGACAGAGCGGTTGGAGTCTCCCTCCTGGGTCCTCAGAGAAGGGGCCAAGAGGGCAGAGCCTCAGGTTCCTCAGAGATGGCCCTCTCCCCAGGTGGGGGCCAGAGCCCTGCCCTATGATTAAGCTGGAGGTCCCCACCAGACTCGGTGTCTCTGCCTTACCCCATCCACCACTCCAACTGGCTCTGCTCATTTACAGATAAGACCCTGACACTCAATTCGTGACCTCATCCAGTTCCCTTCCCTTTCTGGGCTTCCATCTCCCACCTGGAACCCCAAGGGCTTCTCAACACCAGCTGCACATCAGAATCACCCTGACAACTTTGGAAAGTTCCTGATGCCTGGGCCCCACCCCCAGGCTCACTAAATAAGAATGTCTGGGGTGAGGTCTGGCAGAGCTGTGTTTTGGAAAAGCTCCTTGGTTGAGTCTCCCCTCCAGCCAGGGCTCAGACCCTGGGACAGGAGGCTGCAAAGGGGACAATCTGGACATCAGCTTGTTTCTCCCAGTCAGGGCAAGATCCCTGAGCAGGTGTGGGGGAAGAGCAGCAGCCTGCCAGGCCTCGGGTGGGGACCTTCTGTGACACTGTGGGTGACTTGGTAGCTACCAGACCTGTCAGCCCAGGGCAGGAAGATCAGTGACTAAGGCCAATCCACAGCTGAAGTGAGCCCTCAGGGCAGCGGGACGTGCCATCTCAGTCAGGAGAGGTGCCACTCTGTTGGGAGAGGACACCTGCTGCCCCGGGAGCTATGTGGTGGCTGGGGCCCAACTAGAAATGGGCCAGTCCAGATGCCTCTCCTGGCACGCGCAGGTGTGATGCCACCAGGGCTGGGCTCAGACACTGGGCCCCTCACTGCCCTGTCCCCACCCAGGGCCAAGCACCCATCAAGAAAGGTCCTAACCCTGCAATTAACCCTGACTTTGCCAGAGGAAGGCCTTAGTCACCAAGGGAGGCCACCAGCCCCACGCCAGCTGGGCCCAGGCTGTCTGGGACCTAGACAGGGTCTGAGAAGGAAGTGACCCCAGAGGAGGTCTTGCCCTTCTCATGCTCACCATGCCTAGAGATCTAAGTCACCCTGTGGCAGAAGTGGCTGGCCCTTCCTGGGATCTGTGAACTGATCAGTGGGCAGGTGGGATTGATAAGGGGAGCCGCCCCCTGCCCCCACCTCCCCTCACTTCTCACTGCTGTCTATCCAGTGACCGCCCAAGCCCCAGCCCCAGCGCCAGCCCCTTCTCAAGGCAAGCCAGCTCTCTCCTCCCTCCTTAATTAAATCTCTCAGGCAGCCTCAGAGGAATGTCAGAGCCTTATTGCATTTCTCTGGAGGAGACTGGTGGGGGGGCCTTCCCCAACCTTGGAGAAGAACTGGCTCCTCGCCTGCCCCCACCCCCTAAAACCGAGGTGGTCTAAGGGAGCCTGCCCCAGCCTCCTCATACCCAGGGAAGCTGGAATGAGGAAAAGCGGGGGAGGCCTGCAGGCCTGGCCGGCCAGGCAGCCCAGCCAGCTAAGGGAAAGCAATCCGGCTGACTCTGGAATGTGGAAACCGATAAAAGGAAGAAGGCTGAGCCTGCGCCCGCCCGCCTGTGGTGCATGCAGACTCCCACAGCACCCCTGCCCGCCCCCAAACATAGCCCTGCTCCAGTCACGCGCACACATACACCCACGCCCAAAACACGCCCAGTGGGCTGTGTTCTTACACACACACACACACACACACACACACCCTCCCACCCCATTCTCCAAGAACTCTCACAAATTCCACAGCAGTGAGGGGAGCTGGTTTTCTTGGCAGTGCAGACAGAGCCTTGGGCTCCCCAACCCAGGGAGGAGACTCTAAGGAGAGCTGAGGGGGGCTCCGGAAGGGGTCACTAACCCATTTAGGTGGCATTGCTGCCCTTCCCATGAGTTGAGGGCTTGCCAATGGTCAGGGATGCTTCTCTCTGGTCACCAGGGGGTACTGGCTGGCTGGCCTGCTGAGGTGGAAGCTGCCTCCTGGGCCCAGCTGGGACCCCGCTTTCCTGTTTCCATGAGCTGCCTAGCCCGGGGATAGGGTCCACTTAGAAGCCCCCATGAGGACTCAACTCTCTTTACCTTCGACTTGTCCCAACTCTCTCAGGGCTGTAGTGGGGGGTGTCGGGAATGGGAGCCAAAAACTGGACTCATCTTCTGCCCAGGGCATCTCCCTGGCCCTGGGGCTGCCTGCCAGGAGGGCCTTCTTGGGGAAAGCAGAGCATGTCTAAGGGTCTTCTCGTGTTGAACTCTGTTCCCCATTTCCAGAGTCTAGAGAGTGGTGCCATCCCAGCAAATGCCCTGGAACACTGGCCCCCAATGGTCCCTTTTGACTCTCTGGACCCACAGGTCCCAGGGTGGCTGTTTCCGTTTACAGCAGCACAAAGCCAGGGAGGTGGGGTCAGGCCATGCCTAGGCCCCCAGCCTGGCATGAGTATGCTGGTTGTCCCTCCCTGGGCCCAGGAGAGACCAAATAATGGTCTGGAGGGAATCCAGCTGGGCTGCTCATTACCAGAGCCCTCTTCCTGCCTCTGACACTCTGTTTACAGAAGCTCTGGGGCCTGATTCCCCTGGGAGAAGACAGCAAACTCAGGGGACTGCTCTCCCATCCCCCTACCCGCTTGCCTTAGTGCTGTTGGGCCTTGCCAACAGCTGGGCCCTAACTGGATTCACTGTCTGCTGGACCAGCTTGAATGGACCCTACTTGGAGGGTACCAGCCCAGCCACCCCTTTGTACCCTTAACATCCAAAAGTCCAGCGTAGTGAGAAGGGTCCTTTGATGTCCAGTCCAGTTCCTCTTGCCCCAGAAGCTCTTGGCCTGGGGAGGGGGACACTGGGACCTGGTGCCTCTCTCCAGAGCCTCACCTACCCTTGGTGCAAAAGGCAAGCAGGGGACACTGGGACTCTCAGGGTCTCCTCTCTTCCTCCTTCCCACCTTGCAGATTCCATCCCTATTCCCCAGGGTGGGGAAGTGGTCAGCGACCCTGGTGTGGGAATGGTTAAGGAATGGTTGGCACCAATCAGCTGATCTGCCAGTGACCACAGGGGGACCTTGGCAGCCCTCAGGCCCCAGTGCTGCCAGCCCTGGGACACAAAGAACTAGGCTGGCTCCAGGCCATTGGGTTCAAAGCCCAAGCAAAGCCCCTTCTCTGAAAGAGGCAGAGATGATAATACCTGGGGCCCAGGCACCCAAGGTCTGCAGTGTCTTGGAGTGGAGGGGGTGGGAGGGCGGGTGGCGGTGTGGAATGGTGCATTAGTACCTGCCAGCCACCCGCTTACACCTCCCTGGGTTGCATACTTGTGCCCCCTCCACAGCTCTGTCCTGAGTGACAAGGGCCCTCGGGACCCTAGCGGGCCAGTCTGCACAGGGGCACCGGGGGCTCCAGGTACAGAACTAGACCGTCCCACTTTAGGAGGTAAAAGTAACCCAAGACTATGGCGTGGCCATCCCCTCAAAGGGATTTGATTCATAAAACTGGTCATGCCGGAGGGCCCAGCCGTGGGAGGAAGAAGCGAGGGAGGGGGTGTTTATTTTGTCTA